GCCGCGGCCGCGCGGGCGCGCGCGCGTCCGCGGACGGCACCGCCGGGAGCGGCGCCGCGGGCGTCGAGAGCGCCGCGGCCTCGGCCGGCGGCGGCGGCGGCGGCTCGAGCCGGAGCGGCGGCTCGAGCGGCGGCGGCGGAGGCGGCGGCGGCGGCGGCGGCGGCGCGAGCGCCTCCAGCGGCGGCGGCGCGAGCGCCTCGGGTGGCGGCGGCGCGAGCGCCTCCAGCGGCCGCTCGCGTTCGTCGTCGTCGCCGTCGCCGTCGTCCGAGGCCTCCGGCGCGTCCGAGGCTTCCGGGACGGTCTCGAGGCGCGGCGGCGCGGCGGCGGCGGCGGCGCTCGCGTCGGGCGGCGGGCGCGCGGCGCGCCTCCGCGGCGCCGCCGCGGCGGCCTCCGGCGGCGCAATCGCGCTGGCGCCGCGCGGCGCGCCGGCGTCGGGCGCGAGGCGGCCGCCGACGCGGACTTCGGCCGAGAACGCGTCCGGCGCGCGCGGCGGCGGCGGCGCCGCGGCGCCCGGCGGCGGCGCGCTCACGACGACGCCGAGCGCCGCGCTCTTGTCGCGGAAGGCGGCGAGCGCCGCGCGCGATCGCTCGATGAACTGGCGCCGGTCCTCCGCCATTTTGGGCCAGGAGGCGGCGCCTCCGGCCAGGAGCGGGCGTACGCGCGGCGCTCGCGTTCGTGCGAGGCGAGCGAGTCTAATTTGGAACCGCTAGTATGCGTCAGGATCGGCCGTCGAATCGACGCGAAGGGTCAGCGCGCCCGTGCGCGGTTGGGGCGGTCCATCGTTGGGCCCAGCAAAGAGTTTGGTTGCCTGCGGAGGGCTGGAAAATCGATTTTTTTTATCGACCTCGCGCGGTGGCCCCGTGTCGCCACCCGTCCAAAGCGTCCTTCAGGGATGTTGGAGCTTGTCTGCGATCATGGTAGCTCGTCGCTAGTGAAAAGTTATGCCCGAAAAACCGAGAACATACGTAGGAAGTACGCCGCGGTCCGCGGACGCCGAAAACGTACTGAAATTTTTTTCTCCGGCTTGGCTCTTCGTTGTTGCCGTCGCTGGACGCGCCGTTTGGGGCGTCCCGAACGACCCTCCAAACCCCCAGGGCCACCGCTATGGACACGCTATGCGCCGCGCAGTTCTCCGGATCTATAGAGGAACTCGGTGGATCCCGCTGCAGACCGCGGACGTGCGGATCACGGTCGTAGGACGTGGATCCAACGCTGAGGCGATGGTGCTGGTGGTAGTAGGAGTCCGTCCAGGCCGTATGGCCAGCGCACGCGCGTATTTCATGGCGCCACAGTGGCCTCGAAAGTGCCTCTTTGGAGAGGACCGGTTTGAGCGCGTTGGCGCGGATCATCCAGCCCAGCGGTCGCGTGAGGCTGCGGAGGCCTCGTCCATGTACCACTCCGCCCGGCCATATCGTTCGAAGTGGTCGGATCGACGCCAGTGGGTCCAAACGCCGCGCTCTAGCGGTTGGC